ACCAGCTGGTAAAATGCTAAAAATAATAATGAAATAAATTTAAATGGGAAACAATTGTTCAACAACTTACTAAAGTTGTTCTTATAAAAAAAATATAACTTACTAAACCGGTCAGTAAACCCGCCCTTAGTTTGTAGCTCCCTGATTAATGAATGTCCCCATTGTAAGCATGTCATTGTGATCACCACACCTTATGAACCGATTCAAGATAATCAAGCACTTTTATTTTATAGAAAACTGTATTATTTATTTTCAGAAGTTACAAAACAAAAAAAATTTGTATTATTTTTATTAAAAAACTAAACACAATAACCTTATTTAGAAAGGATATTATGTTTCATAGCATTATTATACCTCCTCATCTCAATGATTTTCTTTATTTTCTCATAACTATATGTTCTTTTATTATTATTTAAATGATATATAATTCCTATGTTTTATTCTTTATATATGTTTTCTACAACTTATTCATCATATTTTATTCCGATTAACACATTAACTCGTTTCAATATTTGAGTACTCATGACCATTTCTGGTTTACATGATCATAATTTACTGGTCTTTTCGAGAACAAAATATCAAAGTTAGGTGATATGTAACATGATGGGAGTATTAGGATCCCCTTTTTTAAGTTCTCCTTTTGGGTTTTTGCTTCTATGTCTTCGAGAATATATTAAAAATTAACGAAAAAGACTACTATTTTCTGTTCATAAACTAAACTAACCACACGTACGAAAAAGATAAGATTGAAAAAAATATGAGAAAAAGGAAATAAAGTGCGAGGACAGATCACGATAAATTCATGACTTTTTGAAAGTTTAGTATAAGGGCACGTAAATTTGTTCCCAATTGGAACAACGGATGTATAATCTATTAATCTCCGGTCGAAGATATATAACACTGTAATTTACAATGTGGTTAAGTTACTGATACAAAAAATAATAAATAGTAACTCTAGTGTTCTTGTTAAAAAAAAACCCTAGTGTTTATGTTTATAGTTACCATGCGAAGACTAATATTCATATATGAATCATTGAAATTATATAGCTGATATTTTGGAAGTAATTTCACTGCTGAAAGTCCTCTAAATGTTTTATTTTCTCAATTTTCTAATGTTTGGTTTTTCATTCGCATGTTCAGAGTTGCTTCGTTCGCTCACTTTTTGACGTTCAGAATTTATAAATTATAGCTAAATGTTTCGCAAGAAACTTTTGACTATTTGAGCAATGCTCTTGTACGATTTGCCTATAGGGACGACCGGAATTGCCAAATATATGTATGTTTATTTTGATATTCATTGATTATAGGTCGATTTAGTCAAACTATAGTCAGAATCAAAACATTTAATAGCTTGCCATAAATTTTATTTAGATTTGTCAAACTACATTAATATAATATGGATTTGTTTTCCTAATATCGACTTCAAAAAAACAAAAAGACCATTTTTTACCTCTAGCAAAGTTATAGACTGGTTGTATATATATTTATTTACACTGCTGAAAGAAAACTTGTACATATATCGTCGTCGGTCGTCATTGTGTTATTACTCAGTTTTAAATCCATAAAATGTAAAAACTAATTAAGTGATTAATAAAAAAATCGACCACAATTAACAAAGGAACAATGAGGGGATTATAATGGGTCCATATGTATATCTTCCGACAAGGTCTAGCTTTGATCTGATTCGTTGATGCGCTTTGTGACCCTTTAAGCTTAACAATACCAAAATGAGACAAGTTGCTGTATAATTCCAAAAGGAGTGCAAATCCCAAAGCATACGTATACTAGTCGTTAATTAATTGATTATTTTTAACAATATGTTTCCTTGGTACGTATAGTTGATTAAATAGTAGTCATTAAAGATTAGTTAAATTAGCATGGAGACATGATCCACAATTTAGAGATTGTGTTAGAT